CTGACTTCCTGTGGCTTTCATGCTAGGCGGACCTCCATGTCCCTCTCAGGTGCTTGCCTCCCCTTATCCATCCCCCCTGTGTGGCTTTTCTTCTGTTACCGTGCATAGCTGTCCAGAGCCCTTCTGCTCCAGTAACATGCCCCAAGCAATCCTGCTTATTGCTGACATTTGTATACAGATGATTTCTTGCTAGAGGTCCCCGCAACAAGCTCATTAATTCTCTAGAACGACCCATAGGACTCAGAAAATCGGTTATACACTGTGACTATGGATTATTTCCACAAAGGGATACCGATCAAAATCAGCAAGGAAAGGAGCACAGGGAAGACTTGGCCTGGGCTTCCAAGTGTCCCTTCGCGGGGAATTCTGCAGGGACACGTTTGATTCGTCTAGCAGTGATGCGTGACAACACGCGCGAGGGTCTGCCAACTAGGGAGGCTCCCCTGCGCCATGGTGTGCGTGGTTTTTATTTTTTATTTTTTTAAAGATCTTATTTATTTATTTGACAGAGACAGAGATCATAAGTAGGCTGAGAGCAGGCAGAGAGAGGGGGAAGCAGGCTCCGCACCGAGCAGAGAGCCCGATGTGGGGCTCAGTATCCCAGGACTCTGAGATCATGACCTGAACCAAAGGCAGAGGCTTAACCCGCTCAGCCACGCAGGCGCCCCACAGCACGGTTTTTATTGTGGATCCATCACGTACGCATATGGCGTCCTTGGTCTGAACTCAGCTGCTCCCAGTCCAGCATCACCACGCCACTTCCTGAGCCAAAACAAAGGTTCCCTGCTAATCCCATTGCTGGGGCAGACTCGTTTCGCCACACTGTACTGCTTGGCCTCAAACCCACGCATACAGAAACTCTCTTAGCAGGCGGTCCCCTCTGTGGGCTTAGAGGTTATCTTCCGGGGGCAGCCACAGGCCTGCCTTGACGACAGGCCCTGCTCGGTGCTGTGTAGCACCTGAATAACCCTTCCTTGTCCGCTTCTGTATCCATATCTTTAACTTCTAAATTACTGGTTTTTATGTCTGTGTTACGGGACTTCTCAGAATTAATGTGTCATAAGCCAGTGCAGAGTCAACCTGTACCACACTGATTACAACATGATACCATTGTTACTTACCCCTCTTATTTTCCAGATGTCCACTGACATTCTTGACTTTGCTGATATACCTCTGCCATCTAGAATATTACCATGTCTAAGAAAAATTAAACATTATAAATAACACCAAAACTTCCTTTCCTCATCCTGCCTGCCACTTCTGTACTCCAGGTTGTCCTTACCACACACTGGAATTATGAGCTTCCATCTGGGATTTCTGCCTCTAGTGTGCTTTTTTCCCTTGAATATCTTTATGGAGATCTAAATCACATCACATAAAATTCACTCCTATAACGTATACAATTCAGTGGCTTTTCGTGTATTCATAGAGTTCTGTGGCTGTCACCATAACCCAAGACCATTTTTATTACCTCCAAGTAAACCTTGTAATGAATAGTGACTTCCCATTCTTCTTCCTCCCTAGTCAACCACTCATTCACTTTTTTGTATTTTACACAGCCTTTATGGAGATAAAATTCACATACCCTACAATTCATCCATTAAACGCCCAGAGTTCACTGGATTGTTGTGCATTGACAGTTATGGAGCCATCACCACAATCTGCTTTAGATTTTCATCATTCCTCAGAGCAACCCTATACCTTTGTGCAAGCAGTCCCCATTCCAGTCCCCTGCTGTCCCTCACCTCTGTCTCATACCACCAGTAATCTGTCTCTATGGACTTGCCTGTTTTTGACATTTTGTGTAAAACGAAACAGTATGTGTAGTCTTTTGTCCTGCGTTCTTTCATTTAGCGTACTCCTTTCAAGGTTCATTGAGGCTGCTTTTCATTGCTGGATGATATTCCATTGTACGGATATGCTATGTTTTATTTGTCCATTCTTTATTAGTCAAGGACTTCAGTTGGGGTTATTTGTACTTTCTGGCTATTATCAAGAATGCTGCTGTGAACATTCATGTACAGATTTTTGGAGGGATGTATGTTCTCACTTTCTTGGGTATGACCCAGAAGTGGAATTATTAGGTTTCATGGTAGCTCTGTGTTTAACATTTTTGAGGGGCGCCTGAGTCACTCAGTGGGTTAAGCCTCTGCCTTCAGCTCAGGTCATGATCTCAGGGTCCTGGGATGGAGCCCCATATTGGGCTCCCTGCTCAGCGGGGATCCTGCTTCCCCCTTTCTCTCTGCCTGCCTCTCTGCCTACTTGTGATCTCTCTCTCTCTCTCTCTCTCTCGGTCAAATAAATAAATAAAATCTTTAAGAAAAAAAAAAAAAAAAGCATTTTTGAGGTAGTGCTAACTGGTTTTTCCAAGTGGCTCGACCAGTTTTCATTGCCGCCAGCAAGGTGTAAGACTTCCATTATCTTCAGTGTTATCCTTATTACTATAGTACCACTTGTTAAAGAGACTGTTTGAACATCAATCTATAGTAACTTATTTCTGGGCTCCCAATTCTATTTCACTGATCTTTATGTCTACCCTTTAAGCCAGTACTACACAGTCTTTGTTACTATGGCTTTGTGGTAAGTTTTGAAATGGGATTGTATTAGTCCTCCAATTTTGTTCTTTTTTCTTAAAATTATTCTGGATATACTAGGTCCCTTGGATTTTCATAGAAATTTTAACAAAGAAGCCAGTTGGGATTTTGATAGGGATTTCCTCATCTCTGTAGATCAGTCTGGGAGGTGGGAGAGTAAGGCAGAGATATTGTCATCATAACAATATTAGGTCCTCCTATCCATGAACATTGGGTATATTTCCATTTACTTAGATTTTTAAAAATTTCTTCCAGTTGTATTTTGTTGTACAGTATACAAATCTTGCTCTTATTTTGTTAATTTATTCCTATGCTGTTCTTTATGATGATACTATAAGTGGAATTATTGTCTTAATTTTATTTTTGTATTGTTCATAAAGAAATAAAATTGATTTTGGTATATTGATCTCATTATATCCTGAAACCTTTTGTAATGTGATTATTTAATAATGTTTTTGTGGATTCTTTTGATTTCTGTATACAGGGTTATGTCATCTGTGAATAAAGGTTGTTTAGTTCTTCCCTTCCGATCTGAACGCTGTTTATTTGTTTCTTACATTATTGTCCTGACTAGAACCTCAAGTGTGATGTTGGATAGAAGGGGTGAGAGTAGACATCCTTATCTTGTTCCTTATCTTAGGATGATTCTTCTACGTTTTTACTATTAAATACGGTGTTAACTCTGGGATTTCCTAGTTGTTGAGTGTTTTTATCATTAAAGTATTGGATTCTTCTCACAAGTGGTTTGGTTTCTTTGTATTAAAATGATCATTTTTTGTTCTTTATTCTATTTTTATGGTGTTATATTAATTGTTTTTTTTATATTAAGGCAACTAGCAATTCTGGAATAAGTTTTACTTGATTCTTGTGTATATTTCTTCCTTCTATTTTGTTTATGCTGTTGGATTTGGCTTCCTAATTTTTTTGAGAGCCTTTGTTTCTGTATTCATAAGGATATTCATTTATAGGTTTCTTTTCTTGCAATGTCTTTGTCTATTGTGGTACCCTGACAGTACTGGCTTTATAGAAATAGTGAGGAAGTACTCCCTCTTCTTTCATTTTTCTGGAAGTTTGTGAAGGATTAGTATTAATTCTTTATTAACTATTTGTAGAATTCACCATTAAAGTTTTGTGGGCCTAGGCTTTTCTTTGCAGGACACTTAATGAGTACTAATTTAGTCTCTTGGTTTATCTGCCAGATTTTTCATTTCTTCTTCAGTCAGTTTTGGTAATTTGTGTCTTTGTAGAAATTCATCCGTGTCTTTCTGTCATCTTAGTTACCTAATTTGATGGCATCCAGTTGTTCATAATATTTCTAAAACACAAACCTAGATATGCAACTTTCTTCCTTAAAACTCTAAAGTGCTTTTTAGTACCCTTAATTTTAAACCTTTTAAGTTACATTTGAAATGACTGAAGACTTTGTTTGATTTGGTTTCTGCTTTCCTTTCCACTTTGAGCCCAACCCCCCTCCCCAAAAAAACACACCCCAAGTTGATCTTCTAATTCAGCCGTATGGCACTTCTTCATGTTCCCTGGATACCATCTCTTTAGGTCTTAAAATGTGCTTTTACCTCCAGCTATAGTAGTGTACTGCCCCTCTTCTGGTAGTTAGTTCACACTCATCCTTAGATGATACTTCTTTTGGGAACCTGCTCTCATTGCCCACAGCTGAGTTACAGGACTTTCCTTTTTGACAGTTTAGACCTGAACTTTCATTTTATTGTAAAACAGATCACACTTCTTGATGATTCTTGAATGGGGTTGGAGATATTCAGGAAAGGAGTAATCAAGGATGACTCCCAGGGTTTCTCAGTTGAATATTTAAACAGTCGTAAGATAAAGAAGAGCGAGTCTCCAAGAATAAGATATATTCAGCTTTGAAAATGGTGCATTTTTCTAGTATAATATCCAGATGGAAATGTACAAGAGGAATGTGTACACGTGGTTCTTAATTTCAGTAAAGCTATCCTGTTGTATGTATGTCCTCCTCCTTTGTTAGATTGTGAGCTCCTTGGCTGTAGGAAGCCAGGCTTCCTTCTCTGTTTTTTAGTGGTCCTTCACAGATTGCAGTAACTACTAGTTGAATTGAGTTGTAAATAACAGTGCCATGTGTCTGTATATGGTATTTTAATTTGCTTATAAGTATCTTACTTGGAAAGTAAGTCCAGCAGAAGGAATAATGGCTGATTGTAGAAAATTTTAGTTTGGGAAAAATACACTTTTTTCCCCCTTTTTTTTAAACAATTTATTGATGCATTTTCATTTCAACAATCTCAAATCTTATTTTGTGAATTCAGCTATTTCCTTGCCCTTTCTTCTATTAAAAATTGTTTTATTCTTGTCCTAAATACTTTTGTATTTTTCACATGAGCTGAGTTATGCTGTCTTCTGTCTTCTGTGTAGGACTATAATGATGAAATCAGGCAAGCACAGCTCCAAGAATTAACATATTTGAATGGTGGTTCAGAAAATGCGGATGTACCGGTTGTTCGAGGGAAACCCACCTTGCGTACAAGAGGTGTACCCACCCCAGCAATAACCAGGTAGGTGTAATTAATTGACTTACTTTTTTTGTCATTAGAATAGGGTACCATGGCAACCGTTTTAATGTCTCCTTTATTAATAGTCAAACAGCTCTATCAGTATATCCTTACAAAGCCTGCGAGAATATATTCAGACATTTTAATGTTGTAATTAAGGGGATTCACTTTGCTTGGAGTGAGATATTCCTGGGTTTAAATAGAACCTGTACCACTTACTGGCTGATGACTATAGCCAAGTTTATTTATCACTCTAATATTAATTTTTTTTTAAGATTTTATTTATTTATTTGACAGAGACACAGCAAGCGAGGGAACACAAGCAGGGGGAGTGGGAGAGGAAGAAGCAGGCTTCCTGCTGAGCAGGGAGCCCAGTGCGGGGCTCCACCCCGGGATCATGACCCGTTGCATAAGCAGATGGCTAACTACTGAGCCACTCAGTACCCCTAATATTAATTTTTAAAATTCTTAAAAATGAGGCTTGTTTTAAAATAATAATATTGATATGCAACTTGAAGTCTTGGAAGCATGTGCCTTCCCCATTGAGCACAGGATTAGGCCAGTTCTTTGCCACATCTCTGTTGAGCACCATGTCAGGCACCAAGTGAGTATCCAGAAGCCTGCTGTCATTTTATTCACTGAATGCTCTGAAACTCCTCAGCTGGTCCAGGTACACAGAATTTTTTTTCTGTCTTTGGACTGATGACTACTTTTAATATGAAAAATGAAATCAGAGAGAGAGACAAACCGTGAGAGAGACTGGACTCCAGGAAACAGAGGGTTATGGAGGGGAGGGGCATGCAGAGATGGGGTGACTGGGTGGTGGGTATTAAGGAAAGCATGTGTTGGGATGAGCACTGGGTGTTATACACAACTAATGAATCGTTGAACACTACAACAAAAGCTTATGATGTGCTTTATGTTAGGTAACTGAACATAATGAAAAATAAAAAATAAAATGTTTTAATGAATTCATAAGACAGTTTAAGCAAAACCATATATTGAGATATATCTCAGATTTATTTAAAAATATTTTTAATTTTTTAATCTTTGCATCTAAAAGAACTCTAGAAAGAAGTAACGGATTTTTCACTGGTGACTACATATATATTTTTTCAGATTGATTTTGAATGAAATAATTTCAAATAGCATTCTTTTATATCTCCAACTTTTTTAGGAGAATAAAAAGTCAGTTTTCTTATTAAGTGTTGCTGATCAGTGTATGGTCAAAGAGAGCAATTACAAACAGGTGTTCTTGCGCTGTAAAATAAACAGATCTCCTCATGGTACCAAGTGGGTTTACTCTATTAAAAAAGGCTGATAATGGATCGCTGTTGATGGTTTAATGAAATAATTTATGTAGGTGTTCAGTAAATGGTAAATCCTTCTCATTTTCATTTCTTCTACCATTAAATTTACTTTAAATCATAAGAAATTCCAGTTGACCCTTGATCATTGTGGGAGGATAGTGGTACTGACCTCTTGCATAGTCAAAAATCTGTGTATAACTTTTCACTCCCCCAAAACTTACTACTAATAAGCTACTGTTGACTAGAAGCCTTACCCATAACACAGTCGGTGAACACATTTTGTGTATGTGTTAAATACTGTATTATTGCAATAAGATAAGCTAGATAAAAGAAAATGTTAACAAGGAATTCATGAGGGGAAAGTGCATTTACACTACTGTACTGTATTTATTGTAAAAAGATCCGTGTGCAGACGAACCCATGCAGTTCAAACCCATGTTGTTCCGGGGTCAACTGTACTCGCTGCGTTAGTTTCCTGTGGCTGCTGTGATGAATGACCACAAATCTGGTGGCTTTAAACAATAGAGATTTATCAGTTCTGGGGACTAGATGTCCAAAATCAGTGCTGGGCAAACCACAGTCAAGGTGGTGGTGGTGCTTTCCCTCTAGCAGGGAATCCTTTCCTTGCCAGTTGCAGCTTCGGGTGCTGCCAACATGCCTTCCCTTGTGGTCTTACCACTCCGGTCTCTGCATGTTGATTTCGCTCCTGTCTGTCTGTCTTCTCCGTTTGCTTCCCTCTTCCACGTGATAGCATTTAGGGCCCCCCAGGCGATTCAGAGTACTCCTCCCTTCCCAAGATGCTCACCTGATAATCACGTCTGCAAATGCCCTTTTTCTAAAGAAGGCAACATTCACAGAATGAACCTCCCGGACGGGCGGAGGGAAGAGAGCACACTCAGTGTCACTGTTGAGGACACTTTTTAGGGGATGCTGTGTTCCTTAACCAGAGCTATCATTTTGATTGAAGATAAGTTCTCATTTCACTGTCAGGTTTTTTTGTTTTGTTTTGTTTTTTAAGATGTTTTTTTATTTCGTTGTCAGAGAGAGAGACAATGAGAGAGGGAGCGCAAGCAGGGGGAGTGGCAGGCAGCACCTGATCCCAGGACCCGAACCGAGGCAGACGCTTCCCCGAGCCACAGGCATCCCTCACTGTCAGGTTTTAAATTAAGTTTAAACAGATGAGGAAGGCAGAAACTTTTTGGTATTTTGAGTATAGTATCTGCAGAAACCCCTCCATCTACCCGGATGAAAAATTATTCCTCTTGATGACGCATGTCCGTGGCTTGCCACGGACAGCCTTTCCATTGGGTTGGCAATGAGTACCGTTCCCGTGGCGGGTGTGGCTGGTCCGCACTCGGCACTGGGCAGAGCACCTCACACACCCCTACCTTCTTTCCTCCATTTGACTGTGGGCTTCCTCGGTACCGGATGTTTCAAATACTCTGCTTTTCTCTTCCTCGAAGAGGTACTCAGAGCCCTCCTGTATTCTTTCTTAAGGCCTCACTCTGTTTAGTCTTTACTGATTACTTTGCCATATTTCCTGTGTTCCACCCCCCGCTGGAAACTGTTTATTTCATGAAGTTGGTGCTCACGTCCTTCCCATATCTTTGTGAACGTTGCTCCTCTGCCCACAGTTCTGCATCCCTTCCCAGCCCCTCACTCTTTACATCCTGCTTTTCTTCGTGTCTCACACCAAAGATTATTTTAACACTTCTACTTCATCTACTACTGACTGAGTACTTTTCTAAGCATTTACAGATATTAACTAGGTTACACCTCATAACAGCCCTGTGAGGGGCCACTGGTGTGTTCACTCACCATTTCTCAAGCGAGGGAGGTGATGACTCGCCCAAGATCTGTAGACCCTGGTTCCACCGTCCGTACCTCTCTCTTCTCTTTGGTCCTCCCTTGCGTTTCGCCAGGAGCCGGGCTTTCCTCCATCCATTCTGCCGCTGCATTTCCTCCATAGAGCTTTGGTTCTGTCCCTTTCACTGCACTTTTATCACAGCCCATGATGGCACCTTTAATACAATCTATGGTGGAAATACTTTTATGTTTTTTACCACTTTCTCATTAAATCACATATAGTAACTTGCCAAACTAGTATGTGTATCTCACAGAATAAAAAGTAAATGGATGTGGGAATTAGGACAGAAGGTTACCAAACCCCAGGAGTGAGGTTAACACACGGGAGTACAGTCGCAGAGTTGGTCTTCGAATTAAATTTTGAGTTTCCTTGTAGCCAAAGCTGAGGAAGACGTGGTTATGGAATCACACTGTTTCAGGGTCTAAAAGAGTAATAAAACAGAAGACAAACATACTCCTCAAAGCCCAGGGCCTTCAGGTCCTGAGACCTGTGAGAATTATCTCCAGGGCACAGTCTTAGTGGGCCTTGGCTGTATCTATCCCCTCAGTGCGCCATTTTGATTTTGCCTCTGAAATAGACCTTGGGGCGCCTGGGTGGCTCAGCGGGTTAAGCCTCTGCCTTCAGCTCGGGTCATGATCCCAGGGTCCTGGGATCGAGCCCCGCATCGGGCTCTCTGCTCCGCGGGGAGTCTGCTTCCTCCTCTCTCTGCCTGCCTCTCTGCCTGCTTGTGATTTTTGTCTGTCAAATAAATAAAATCTTTAAAAATAAAATAAAATAAAAAAATAAAATAAACCTTAAGTCTGGTTTTCATGAGTCATCTCTTCCTCCCCACCTCAGTCTAGCCACACTGCTCTTCCACTTGTCATTTGCAGTCTTTAATGACCTGTTCAAGTAGATACTGTCTTCTCCCTGCCTTAGTTTTTGGGTGGCTCCCTTTGCCTCTAGGAGAACATCCGAACTTCCTGCCATGCTCGAGGACACACTCCTAACCTGGTGATCTTCTTGCCCTTTCTGACCTTGTGGTTTTCTGCACTGCGGTCTGGCTGGTCTCCTAACTCTCTGGCAAACTGGCCAAGCTTATTTCCTTCCCAGGCCCTTTGCATTCACTACCCCCACTGACCCCACCTCGGGATGCTTTGTCCGGGCCTCACATGGTAGACAGACACAGGTCCATGCCTAGGAAGCCTTACCGGGCACCTTCTTGAGAGTCATCGTCCCCGAGTCCCAAAGCTGGGATCCCTTCGTAGCATTTATCACACTGAATTCTACCTCTTTTGTTCACATTTTCATCGGCTTCTCCTCATGATAATGTAAACCCATAAAGGCTCTTGTGTCCCTAGGACCTGGCGTAAAGGAATCACTTAGTAAATAATTGTTAAGTGACTGCAGTACAATAGCAAATCCTTTAGGCTCTTGCTGATCAAGTGTCAGTCATTTGCAGTATTTTGTGTTGATGTAGTTCGCTGTCCCGTGACGGAATGCACTAGGGGATTAGCTTTGTGGGAATGGTCATGTGGCTATCACCATTTTGGAATTTCAGAGTGGAATAAATTATTATTGGAGGCTTCATGAATGTTCCCCATTCTTATCACTTCAGGATACTTTTCTGCTGAAAGATGTAAATGACCTAAAATTAAATCCTGCAGTGGGAAGTTTTAATGAACTCTACATAAACCTTTCATTTCAGTTTCAAATGCGAGAACTAAACTTAACACCTGTTGTAACTCAGGAGATGAGGAAGTTTCCTCACTTCCGGTCTGTCCTGTGCATGCCTCCAGGGACGCTGCTGTGACGTGTGGCCTGCCTGGCCCTTCGGGGTCTGCGGA